GACTTACCTAGTCGGACTATTTGTCTCAGGTAAATAAACATACTAGTCAACAACTTTGAGCGTAGTGCTCCAAACAACTACCGGCATATGACATGGACGTTACACATGATCTTTGTTTTGTCCATGTTTATTTTAAGAACTATCCGTTGGGTGACACTATTAAGGTCATTGAGCATAGTGCTTAGATCTTCCAGCGATACTGCCATAAGGACTATATCGTGGGCAAATCTAAGGTGAGTGATGTACTCGCCATTTATGTAAATAATATAATCTTTTCCACTCCAGTAGCATAAAAACGTCTTCCAATGCAGCGGTGAAGTTTTGTGGATATAACGTTACCTTGGCTTATATCTCTCTGCAGTTTGATAGGTTTAGTGCTCTGGTTAGGTTGGGGGCAGCATTAGATGGACTGAATGTGAGTGGCCCTACTCTTCGCTTATAGGTACGAGGCTGCTACTCAGCATACTTTCTTCCCCATTGGTTATCGGTTCTTAAAGCTATATGGCCTTGTCGGTTACTCTGGTTTTACTGCGGATATCTTCGGTACGGAATCTATCGTGCAGAAGAACATCGAGCATTTCTCTCAACAAGGCTCGTTGAGCGACTATCAACACACTCATACGGTCAGCAGTGAAGGATATATAGATATATCAATACAAAATGATACGACTGAGGTACCTTCAGACCTCCGGAGCCTTTCCTTTTTAAAAATCCAGTTTGCTTCTCCCCCTCTTATATAAAAGAATGTTCTTCTGATTACATCTCCATGTCACTGGAGATAATCCGATGATACGATATCTTAAAGATTGGTCATCATCATTTCATTACAGCCCTTCACAAGTCCACTGCTGAACATAGGCCTCCCCCAAAGAATGCCACAAAGCACGGTCCTGAGCCACCTGCATCCATCGACTTCCTGCATATCTTACCAGGTCGTCACTCCATCTAGTGGGGGGACGCCCTACACTTCGCCTGCCGGTACGAGGCTGCCACTCGAGAACCTACTGCGGATATCCTCATTTCTGAGTTTATCACGCAGAGAAACTCCGAGCATAGCCCTCTCCATAGCTCGCTGAGCGACCTTGAGCTTCCTCATCCGGCCAGCAGTGAAGGACCACGTCTCAGTTCCGTATGTCATCACTGGCAACACGCACTGGGTGTACAGTCTCGTTTTCAAGTTTTGAGGTATACCTGACGAGAAGATGTGCCGTAATTTCCCGAACGCTGCCCAACCGAGTTGAATCCGTCGATTGACCTCTCGGTCGAAGTTGGACTTACCTAGTCGGACTATTTGTCCCAGGTAAACATACTCGTCAACAACTTCGAGCTTAGTGTTCCCAACAACTACCGGCATAGGTGTGACATGGACATTAAACATGATCTTTGTTTTGTCCATGTTCATCTTAAGACCTATCCGTTGGGAAACACTATTGAGGTCATTGAGCATAGTGCTTAGGTCCTCCAGCGATTCTGCCATAAGGACTATATCGTCGGCAAATCGAAGGTGAGTGATGTACTCGCCATTGATGTTGATACCGTATCCTTTCCAGTCCAGAAGCTTGAAAACATCTTCCAATGCAGCGGTAAAGAGTTTCGGGGATATGACGTCACCCTGTCTTACACCTCTCTGCAATTGGATAGGTTTCGTACTCTGGTTCTGTACTCGGATAGCCATCGTAGCCCTACTGTACAAGCACTTCAACACTTCGATATACCGACAGTCAACTTGGCATCGCTGAAGGGACTGCAGCACCGCCCAAATTTCGACGGAATCAAAGGCTTTCTCATAGTCCACATACGCCAGACATAGTGGCAAATTGTACTCCTCGGACTTCTGCACAATTTGCCGAAGGGTATGTATGTGGTCTATGGTGCTAAAACCTTTTCGGAAATCGGCTTGTTCGGGAGGCTGGAAGTCGTCAAGTCTGCGCGCGAGACGATTCGTAATGACTCTCGAAAACAGCACGTAGACGCGGCTCAGAAGGGAAATCGGTCTGTAGTTCTTCAAGAGAGCGTTGTCGCCTTTCTTGAAGAACAAGACCACCGCACTTCTGCTCCACGCCTCCGGTGTAATGCCACCATGGAGGACGGAATTAAAGAGCTTCTGAAGGACTTCAAGTACCGGTCTTCCACCCGCTTTCAGAAGCTCCGCTGTAATTCCATCCTCGCCTGGGGCCTTGCCGTTTTTAAGGTGCTGGAGAGCCATTCTAATCTCGCTCAGACTGACGTCCGGGATATCATCGGAATAATGTCGGATAAGACTCGCTCTTGGATCGTTACTCACACTTGCGTGCGGCTCCAACGATGACGTGTACAGCTGCCCATAGAACCTCTCAATCTCACTCAAAATCTCAGGTGTCCCGGAAACGATGCTGCCACATTCTGTCTTCAGCTTTGACAGTTGGCGCTTTCTGGCAGACAGATCTCTGGCAAAGACTTTGGAGCCAAAGACTTAAAGATTGGTAAGGCGATGTAATATTGGCATTATGTTGCGCAGGGAACCACGTGCGAAAAGAAGGAGGGATGAATTTGCAGTGTCAAGACTGTTCAGATAAGTTAGCTTATTGTATAACTGGATAAAGTAGAATTATTATTATCATAGTGCTTGCGCTTTGTAATTGTTTAAATTAAATAAAAAAACTTACTTTAAATAGGAAGTAAGCGTCCAATTCAAACAATTAAAATAATAATAAAATAATTTCACAATCTGAAGTCGGAGATTTAATTTGTACATACTAACTAGCTGTTCCCCGCGACTTCACGCGGTACCCTAATTCTTTTTCTATAATAAAAGTAGGCTAAGTTTATCCTTATGACATCAGCTATCTGCCACTGAGTCCCGTCAAACTCAGTCCAGCCGTTCCGGAGACTAGCCGGAACAAATAGACACAGACAAACATTTAAAAAATTGTTTTTTTTTTGTTATATACGTACCGTATTTATTTTCATATGCATTTAGTAAAAAGCTGTAATTTTGACTTTACAAACAGGGAGTTCAATTATATTTATTTGTAATGTATAGATGTCTTAGCGCTTATTTTATACCCTTTAGAGTGGAGGAATATATAAGGAATATAGGGATCAATATCAATGCATTCTAAATAGTTGCATTTGAAACGGAAACGGAAACTTTTTTATTCAATATAGATTATAAATAATACTTATTTGAGTGACTTTTAGTCACTCTTTTATATAATTACCACTGGTTCGAAAAAAAAACCTCTGTCCTAGGAAGAACCAGCAAGAAACCCACCGCGACTTTTTTTTTTAAAATAACAGCTTACAATCATGTATGTTACACAAATTAACAACACATCAAATCAGAAATAGCTTGGTAGCGATCACCTCATTTCCAGGGGTTATTATCATCTATAAATTCTTTAATATTATAATAACTCTTTTTATACAAACTTAGTTTAATAAAGTTTTTGAACTTTGAGCAGGTCAAATTTTGTATATTTTCTGAAATTTTGTTGTAAAAGCGTATGCATCGCCCCAAGAATGAATTACTGACTCGATAGGGTCGAGTAACTGGTACTACTAGCTTGTGTCTGTTCCTAGTAGGTATTTACAGAATGAATGTGACTTATTTTTGTAAAACTACTTTTATTTTTGTGTACGTACATTACATTTTCATAAATGTATTGAGAGGCCAAAGTTAATATATTAAATTAATTAAATTAGCCTTACATTTTTGTCGCCGCGACTTTTTAGGCTTTAAATCATAAATTGCTCTTATGGCCCTCTTCTGTAAAACAAATATGATTTCAGTGTCAGCTGCGTGTCCCCATAGCAAATTACCACACGACATTATGCTATGGAAATAGCTAAAGTAAACTAGTCTAGCTGTTACACTTCTAACACTAGTTACACTTCTAATATTTTTTACGGCATATGCTGCAGAACTAAGTCTGCTTGCTAGTTTTGATATACCTACGGGGGCTCCATTGAAGCTTCGCGTCTAGTGTGATTCCAAGAAAAATGGTGGTATCTACAAGACTCAGTTTCTCCCCATTTAAAATTACATTAGTATTTAATTGTTTGACATTTGGAGTCATGAATTTCATACATTTCGTTTTAATGCCATTTAGATGCAAATTATTAACGTTGAACCAATTTACTAATTTAGATATAGCATTATATATTATATATATATTAAAAACATCATTCCCTATTTTGCCACCATTTGGGGTGGAGGCTTTTCACTATATTTGAAAAAAACTGAAATGACAAAAGAACTTACAGTCCACGTGGTGGTCACACCACTGAGGACTTGGATATTCTCATACCCATAAGCCGGAACACAGTAGTGAAACTGTACTGCTATTTAGTTGCGAAAATAGTTAAAGAGTCCTACCACTTGACTGAATTGAATTCTATCTAAATATGACGAAACCAACAACTTTTTATCGACAGCGAACTTTACTAGGTGTTACGCTGTCGACAAAATGTTCAATAAATAATAGTACGACGTAGTAAAGTCTACAAACAAGCACACAGACTTCTTTAACTGTTTCATAGACTTCACAAACAAGCCACGATTAAGAATCAAAATACAGTTGTTACCACTAAGGTCTACGGGATGGACAGTCAAAATGTTAAGATTCCTTTCAACGCTAAACAATATAATAGTTGACGATCGCAGTACCTACGTCACTCTGCTTCATTATAATGGTGTCGAGGCTTTTAGGTCGTAGCCTTAGGATATATTTTAATAAAAAATACATTTCAAATTAAATTTGTCTTAAATATAATAAAAGGTCTATATTCAGTAGTGGGTAATGATGCGCTGTATAATGATAATGATAGTGATTAATATAATTAGGTCCAATAACGCATTGACATAAAAACTAAGAACAAATACAGCAAAGTAACAACTCACGGTCAGGGGGACCTTTGTACATTCTACTTATAATAACAACATTAATGATCATTCCTTTGTACTTATCTAAATTGACAGAGATATGAATCACCACGTGCGAGGTTCAATTTATGGGAGCAGTCACATCTCGGACGCAGTGTAGTGTGGGTGTGTAATTCCTATAGTTTGACATTTTGCGACATTAGTGAACATCGGGTCGGGAGATGCTTGAAGCAGCTCAAGCGATATTTCAGTACGTATGCCATGTTATTTAAAATGTCCCTCGAGTGATTAGTTATATTTGGAATCGTTCACTAATCAACAGTGAACGCAAATAATCGGTTTCACTAACCGATTAGTATTGGAATCTGTGTTAACTAAATATTCGGAGGTAGTCTACAATTGATAACTGTTCTTTCGATTATTCATGAGTATTTTCTACATAATGTTTATAACATATATCTAGTTAACTGGGAAAAGTCCTAAACTATAAATATAGTTTTTATATTTTTTTATACTTAGTTTTAAAACATTAAAAAATAATAATATGTAAGTACAATCCACATTTTACTAATCAATTTTCGAACGATTTCCCTCTATTTTTAAATTTACATGCGTTATACACTATACATCAATTAGTAATATGACAATTTAAGGAAACGATTTGATCATGAGCTGTGATGATCCTGTTGAGAATACTACAATGAAATGGCATGAAAATAAAGTATTGTCATCGGTGCTTAATACGTCTGCAAAATACCATATTATTCAGGTGAAAATTGAATTACAAAATTCCATTGCATTCATACATAGATACATAAGGGTGAAGCTAGTAGTAATATAACGGTTTTGAAAATTGGTCAAGTGGGTTAGGGCACGCGTAAAGGGTTTCGTAGCGCAGGTTATCTCTAAAAAGTATTCCAAATTAAAATGTCTGTCAGACTTTTTTTCTAGATATAAGGTACATTATTTAAAAAGTTATTGATGGGGAATACCACAGGGTCGGCTCGATGGGAGTAGGACCACGTTCTTACAGAATACCAGCGTAAAATAGCAGGCTAATGTTGCTGTGTTTCGTATGGTGAGTGTAGGGATCCAGAGACACTTTTTACTGGAAACGAGGCATTCCATCTTAGTCCTTAAGGTTGACAACGCATCTGCATTTTGATTCTTTATTGAGGATACACGTAGATGTCTATGGGCCACAGTATCCGCTTACCATCAGGTGGACTGTGTGCCCGTTTGTGACCCTTATTCTATAAAAAAAAGAGTCTAGCCTACTTTGAAGTATATTTTGCAAACAAAGATCAAACTCAAAGCTCGTCGTGTAGTGGCGGCGGAAGAAAGTCCGCTATCTACCTCATATCATCTTCATCCGACGACAGTTGGAAATAAAACAAGAGATGGACAGCATAGTGTTCCTGATTTCAACCCAAAATCATAAAAACTGCTTCAACCGCAGTGTTTGCGTGGCAAATACGATAATTGTTCAGTAGTGGACTTTGGTAGGCTGTAACGATTATGACAATGAAACTCAGAACTAAAAATAGGTAATCGAATCTCATAATTATTGTTGACTTCAACGTGGTAGAGCGATGCTGCAGCTATATTAGTAGTATAGTTGTAGCACGAATGGGTCGGCTCGACCGGGGAAGGACCACGCTCTCACAGAATACCAGCGTAAAATAGCAGCTTAACACTGCCGTGTTTCGTATGGTGAGTGTAGAGAACCGGAGACCCTTTTTACTGGAAAAGAGGCATTCCATCTTAGTCCTCACGGGTAACAACGCATATGCATTTTGATTCGCTAACGAGGATAGGTGAAGATGTCTATGGACCACAGCAACCACTTACCATCAGGTGGACTGTGTGCTCGTTTGTCACCCTATCCTATAAAAAAAGACTAGCTGGTACCCGGCGCGTTGCTGCCGCGGAAGAAATAATTGAGGAAATATCAATTTAAATTTAGAAGAGTTATTTTGTTTAATTGGGTATATAATACATTCATTGAAGTTGAATATGTTACTTTCAAATAAATTGTAGATACTCGTACTATGCCTATAACCTTCACAGAAATGCAAGCAACACAGTTTAGATTTCTGTGGCAAGCAATATGTTGAAAAAGTTTTACCGCAATAACGATATGGCAGCGCATAAAATACGAACAAACAAGTATTTTTATATATTAGATGATTGCAATAATACTTCAGTTGATATAGACGTTCCATATCCGTCCCAACAAAAAATTATCAGAAATTTAATTTATCAAAACGTTATCAGTATAGAACTTTTTCATCGATTTTATCGTAAAATGTTATTTGTTTTATTAAAAAATGATAACATTACACACAACTTAAAATTATTAAACACAACAACACAATACAATAACACGCAGACAAAATGAAATGTTTTGTATTAAAGTATATGAAGTTTACTAAATAAGTTACAACTTAAAAGTAGGTATCTACATCATAATATGTAACATAACATAACATAAACACTCACGCCTGTCACCCAGAGGGGTAGGCAGAGACTACGGACTTCCATTTGGCGCGATCCTGACACACCTCTCTCGCCTCTTTTACATCCATATATCTACGCATACACGCTCGTCGGTTATGGGTACTCCTAATCTGGCCCATTTTTAATGTATCGCCGATTTGGTCGATAAACCTTCGTCTAGGGCGTCCCTTCCCGACCCTGCCGTTCACTTCCGCAACATAAATTTGCTTTGTCACTCTTTCCTCGTTCATTCTTTCTACATGACCAAACCACCGAAGCATTCCTTTCTTAATCCTTGTCACAACGTCATCTTGCAAACCACACTTTTCTCTTATCACACTATTTCTCACCCTGTCATTCAGATGCAGCCCTAGCATACTCCTTAAGGAACGCATTTCTACAGCATTTATTCTACTCTCATGCTTCTTCTGCCAGACCCAACTTTCACTACCATACATTAAAGTAGGGACTAACACAGCATTATGAATTGCCATACGTGCCTTAGTTGACACATTCTGACTCCTCATAATAGCGTGTAGAGCCCCATTCACTCTATTTCCTGCGTTCACTCGTCGTTCTATATCCTTATCATATCTACCATCCCTGCTAAATAAACATCCCAAATATACAAACTCATCCACTTGCTCAATCAACTCCCCTTCTATTCTTATTTCACATAAAGTTTTACTTTCTTCTCTTTCAAAAACCATCACTTTCGTCTTACTTGCGTTCACTTTCATACCCCTTTCTTTCAATGACCAATTCATTAAAGTAACCATCATTTGCAACTCGGCCGCCGACGATGCAAATATGACTTGATCATCGGCGTACAAAAGGCATTTGACGGTTAACTCACCCATTCTCAACCCACATTCTTCAACTTTCAAAGTTTGCAAACAACTGTCCATAAATAAGTTAAACAGCCACGGGGAAGCCACACATCCCTGTCTGACACCTTTATGAATGCCAAACCAGTCCGAGTAGACCCCGTTGATCCTGACACAAGCACTAGAGTCCCTATAAAGAGATCTTAATGCCTGTATCAAGCCAGCGCTCAACCCAAATGAGTTCAGTGTTTGCCATAACACATTCCTGTCCACTCTGTCATAAGCCTTTTCCAAGTCCATGAACGCACAAAAAACTTTCTGGTTTTTAGCCAAAAACTTCTCCGCTATCATGCGCATGGAAAAGACTTGATCCGTACACCCCATCCCCTTTCTAAATCCAGCTTGCACAATCCAAATTTTTCCATCAGTTTCTTCCATAACTCTTTCAATTAACACCTTAGCATACAGTTTACCCACAATGCTAAGCAAGCTGATACCACGGTAGTTCTTACAGTCCTGCTGCGACCCCTTTCCTTTATATATTGGGACTATAACGGCTTTGCACCAGTCTTCCGGTACCCGTTTCAGTTCCCAACATAAATTAAACAAGGTGTGCAGCAGGCCTGTAACCACACCCTCACCAGCCCTTAGCATTTCGAGTGATACTCTATCATATCCGGCTGCCTTACCTGCTTTCATGCTTTTCATTGCTTTCATTATTTCATCTACACTTATCTCCCTACCTCTCTCCACTTTTTCCGGAATTTCTATTTCACTTATTCCAGACGACTCTTCACTCTTAAACACGCTTTCAAAGTATTCCTTCCATCTCTTTAAATTCGAAACTTCATCATTCAGAATGCAGCCATTCTCGTCTCGTATAGCATTTATTCTAGGCTGTTTTGAATTTCCCAGTTGGCAGTTCTTACGAGCTTCCAGAACATTTTAATATTTGCCTGGAAGTTATCAGATATCCTTCTATCATTCTTATCTATCCTTTCTTGCTTTTTCCTTTCAACAACTTCTTTTACTCTCTTATTTATACGTCTAAAGTCTGCCTTTTTTCTTTCAATCTCATCATTCATACCGCCAGAATTACCAGCTTTAGTTGCTAGTAAATCTAGCCATGCTCTCTTCTTTGCTTCAACTTCCATCCGTACCTCATCATCCCACCACAACGTATTACTTTTCCTTTCATTCGTTCTCTTACTTACACCACATACTTCGGTGGCTGCATCCACCAAAACTTTCTTAATATTATTCCATAGATTCTTCAAGTCTAAATCATTCATACATAATTCATTCAACCCACTTATATTTTCCCACAGTCTGCATTTATACTTCTCTTTCACACCTTCATCTTGTAACCTCTCTATTCTTATACGCTGTAACGCAGTGATAGACACCGATGTCCGATGCCGCCAACGTCTGAATAGACCATTAATTCGGCATAAGACCAAGTAATGATCCGTCCCTACGTTGGACCCCCGGTAAACCCTTGTATCTACCACTGCGCTCCTCATTCTTTCATCCACAATTATAAAATCTATCATGCTTCTATCATCCCCTCTTTCCCATGTATACATGTGAATCCTCTTATGGCGAAAGAAAGTGTTCGCCACAAAAAGATTCTTTTCCACACATACGGTGAGGAGGTCTTCACCATTCTCATTTATTCTTTCATCGCCAAACGTTCCTAATATCCTTTCATAACCAGACCTCTTCACCCCAACACTTCCATTAAAATCTCCTAACATAATAATATTTTCATTTTCCTTACATTTCATCAACACCAGCCTTACCATGTCCCAAAACTGCTCTCGGATATAAGTGGGCTTAGACATATCTGGGGCGTACACCCCTAGCACAAACAACTTCTTTAAGCCCACTTTCATTCGTATCCACAGCAGCCTTGGGCTAACAC